TTTATCTCTTTTCCAGCATCACATACCTGTTGTTTGCTGCAAATCTCAGCATCTAGTTAGCCCTGAATATCTACTCCCTGGTGTCTTAAATGTCCTGTGGACACTTGGCTCTAAACCAGGTGCATGAACTGCAGCAGTACTAGACGCATTTCATCTGGGGAGAATGGAGTGGTTGAATCATATATTTTTATGCAATCAGGTGCATTCAGCATGTATCCAGCACCTTACCTTCAACTGGGGTAGATTTTCCTGCTGTGGAAAACTTCATAAGAGCCACTGAGGACATAGAAGGAAAAAACCCTCAAACTCAAATTCTGCTTCTCCTACTGCCCTCTCACAATGTGCTTCCAACACCAAGTGGAAGGAGAGTCCCCACCCCCACCAAGTAATGCTGCAGCTGGACACCAACTGAGTGTCCTCTAGCTCAATTCAGTGCTAACACTCCCCACCTGAAGATAGCATCAGATCCCACAGGTTGAGGACTCAGTCCCCAAGACTGTCCCCTTCTTCAAATGCCAGTCACAAGCCCCCTGTGCTTCTGATGGACTGGCTATAAATTAGAGTCCCCACAATCCCTCCTCCAGTTTGATTAATTTGCTATAGTTGCTCACAGAATTCAGGGAAACACACATATTTACCAGTTTATTATAAAGCATGTTTACAAAGGATACAGATGAAGAGATGCACAGGGCAATGTGTGAGAGGAGACTGGAACTTCCCTACACTCTATGGGACACCACCTTCCAGGAATCTCCATGTGGTCAGCTATCTGCAAGCTCTCTGACCCTGTACTTTTAGGTTTATGGGAGATTTCATTACATAAGTATGATTGAAACCCACACAACCATGAACGTCTACTCCTAATAGACTAAGTGGGAAAACCCAGCAAGGCCTGTCTGTTCAGATATTCTTAGCCTTTCTGTGCAACATTCCTTCCTCCCTCCCAGATGAAACATCCCTTGTGAAATGGGGGTGTTATGATCTATTATCAGACAAGGTGGTTTTGAGAATTTCATTATGCCCGGCTTCAACACAGAAAGATGGACAAAGATTAGAGTTTCTATGACCTTCCTTGGGAAAGAGAAATTCTAGTTCCTATGGCCTAACTTGGGAGTTATGAGCCAGGAATCATGAGCAAAAAGTATATATTCTCTTCTTGATTCCAGAGCTGCCTAAAAGATCAAATAGAGTGTTCTTTTGAGCAATGGGTGTTGGTTCTCTTACTGACTCATTCCACCACCTCCAACAGAGCTCTTGCCGGTCATGAAAAAGAATTACACTCATTCCCTCCCTTCTCAAGCCTTCCCTCAGTCTCTTTAGTGACTGTTCAGCAAGTCTGAGAGTCAAACTCTGAATGGCTATGATACTCAGAGTATGGTCTGCAGACAGACCACAGCATCACCTAGGACTTGCTGAAAGTGTGAACTCTCGGGCCCCTTCTATCACTTTCCAAGCCAGAATCTGCATTTACCAAGATTCCCAAATGATTTTTAGATACACTTATAAGTCTTCTAAGAGACTATCATCACTTTCTTCCTTTACAGTCTGTAGATGTCAAACTTCTCTGCTCTGTCACCCATTCAGCATGTACCCAATAGCTATAATGTACAACACTATGTTTAAGCACGGGAAAATAGAAATAAATAAGGCCTTGTCCTTAAGTAATTCATGTCTGATGTGAAAATAGATATGAAAGCAGTTATATAAGATATGAGCAAAGTAGTAAGGAGGGACAGAAAAGGAATGTTTTCCTGTAGAAATGTGATAAACGTCACAGAGAAGGTGGCATTTGGCCTGGGTCTTGAAGAATGCAAAGAAAGTCTATGAGGCAAAGAGGACCTTGCATGAATAGAAGCAGGGGATTGTAGACCAACCTGGTGCTGGAGGGGCACAGGCTGTGGCTGTGTCTTCAGAGAGTGATCTATGTCCTAGGGAAGACTCCAGGCTTTGCTGAAAACCCAGGGGCTCAAGAAATGCTTTGTGTTCTGACCATGAGGATAAGAATATGGGTAGACATCCAAACATTCCAGAGCCCGTTGTTGACCTTGTCCTTCTGAAGCCCCATTTGCCCTCTGCCCTTTGCCCTGCTTGGTTCTGGCCACAGACAGTGTGTTTCCAGGATCTTTCTGCACAACTATTTTTCAGTGGCATTAGCCATATCTGCTTGGCTCTGCTTTTTGTTCCACACTCTTCCTTTCATGGCCAGGAACCTTGGCCAGGAAATGGAAATAACTTAGCTTTGGCCTTGAATACCTCCTTCCCTGTCTTCCCAGTGAGGAGAATGTGAAGAATGTCACAAAGAAAAGGAGGGGAAAAATGAATAGCTAAGTTTTGTTTTCTGTTAATATAGGATGGTCACCAGACATGATGGTATATACCTGTCCCGACACTTGGAAGAGAAGCAGGCAGACTGATGTTCAATAGGTAGAGAGTTTCAGTTTTTCAAGATGAAAACATCCTAGAGATAGATCTCTTGCACAACAATGTGAATACACTCACCTGTACTGTACAGTTTAAATAGTTAAGATGTTAAATTTTATGTTAAATTTTATTTTTTAACCACAATTAAAGAAAAATTCAAAGATGCCCTTTTTTTGGTGGTACTGGAGTTTGAACTCAAGGCCTCATACTTGCTAGGCAGGTGCTCTACCACTTGAACCACTCCACCAGCCCTGTTTTTTGTTTTTGTTTTGTGTGCGTGTATGTGTGTGTGTGTTAGATATTTGTGAGACAGTGTCTCACAAACTATTTTCCTGGGCTGCTTCAAACTTTGATCCTTCCGATCTCTTCTTCCTTAGTAGCTAGGATTACAGGCATGAGCCACTGGCACCCAGCTGATATCTTTTACTCCAAAACCACCATCTAAGGTTGTCTGAAAGAGCAGATTTCTGCTGACTCAGTGGATCTTGCAGTCACAAAGAGGATGACAGAGGGGCCAGCATTTTGGAGGCTGAGGTAGGAGGATCAAGAGTTTGAGACCAGCCTGGGACACATAGCAAAACCCTATTGAAAGATGAAAAAAAAAAAAAAAAAACACTGGGCACTGGTGGCTCATGCCTGTAATCCTAGCTACTCAGGAGGCAGAAATAAGGAGGATTGTGTTTCAAAGCCAGCCTGAACAAATAGTTTGCAAGACCCTATCTCAAAAAAACCCATCACAAAAAAGGGCTGGCAGAGTGGCTCAAGTAGTACAGTGCCTGTCTAGCAAGTGCGAGGCCCTGAATTCAAACCCCAATACCGCAAACAAAAATAAAAAAGAAAGGAAAGGGAGGGAAGGAGGGAGGAATAGAGAGGAAGGAAGGAAGGAAGGAAGGGAGGAAGGAAGGAAGGGAGGAATGAAGGAAGGAAGGAGAAAGAAATGGAGCAGAGTTTAGTGGTTCATGCCTATAATCTCAGCTACTCAGGATACAGCGATCAAGAGGACTGAGGCTCAAGGCCAGCCTGGGTAAAAAGTTCTCAAGCCCCCATATCAACCAATAAAAGCTAGGTGTGGTGCCATGCACCTGTCATCCCAGCTATGCAAGGAAGTAAGTGTGAATAGGAGGATCATGGTCCAGGCCAGCCCAGGCATAAATGGGAGACCCTATCTCAAAAACTAACCAAAGCAAAAGGGCTGGGGGTATTACTCAGTAGTACAGCACCTACCTAGCTAGCAAGCATGAGGCCCTGAGTTCAAACCCTAGTACTGAAACAAAAGAAAACAAAGAAAGAAACTTCCCCTTCTTTGGGCCATAACAGGTGTAAGGACAAGATTCCACTGAGCGGTTGAGCTATTGGAAAAGTCATCTTGGAAAAAAAAAGTTTTAGTCAAAGAGGTATTTACCACTGTAGCTCAGTGATAGAGTACTTGCCTAGCACATGTAAAACCCTGGTTTCAATCCCCGCCACTAAGAATAAAAAATATAAAAATTTTTAAAAAGGAGTAAACAATGTTAGGGGAAAACACAAATGGGCTGCTGGGTTGTCTGTCAGGCAAAGCTAGAGTGGTTTTTCTCAGGGAACTTTGGGCAGATATGGAAGGGCAGCCAGTCTGAGGTCATTGTCCCTGGTGAGTGTCTAGAGTCTACCCAGTGAATGCCACGCTGAGGGGAGAAGCTATCAAGAGCCTGGTCTAAGTAGGTGATTTGCACATATGGGCCCCTCCCTGGGCTGGAGCCAGAATCTCCTTAGAGAGAATTTTGGGTCTGTTTTACAGAGCCAAATGAAGGCCCTGGTCAGAAGACAAGGCTGCCTGGGGCTGGGGGGTGTAGCCCAGTGATAGAGTACTTGCATGCTGTCCTTAGCACCACACACACACATACACACACAGAGAAAGAGAGAGAGAGAGAGAGCTGCGTTCAACTTGTGATTTAGGTTCAGAGTTAAAGGTCATGATGAACTGGTTAATCCAGGAGCTGGCATCTCTTAGGGCAACCCAAGACACAACTTTCTTGCATGCATTCCCATCAAATTGGCTCTATGAAGCCTCTGGGGGATTTTAAAGAGAGGCAGGGTGTCCATCTCTCAGACACACTCCCAGGTGCTGAGCCAGAGAGACCGGCTGGCAGGAAGCAAGACAGAAGGGAAAATAATTCCAAAGGTTTGGTGACAAAACAAGCATAGGACCTCAGGATCACAGGCTGTCAGGGCAGAATTGGACATCCTGGATCACTTGGCCCTGCTCCCTTACTGGCAAGCCAGCCAACGGCCCAGAAATATTAAGTAACCTGCCCAGGAGCACAGAACTGGTTAGGAAAATGCAGAAGTACAACTCAGGGCCTCAGACACTGAAGCCAGAGTTCTTTCCTCCCACCTTACCTCTCTCCATCTTTCCCAGTTGGCTTCTAACATATGAGCCTATGCATATAGAAGATGCTTAAAGAGTTAGTATGGTTCTCCCTTCCCTGTTCCCATGTTAGGATGTCTGGTGACCCCTGAGTTTTCCCTGCTGTCTATGATTCAGTCTCTCACACTGGGACTCCACTGAGGTTCACAGCATGACCCTGGGTCTCATTTCAGTGATGAGAGTCCTTCTCCATCTCTCAGCCCTCCTGGTTTCCCTGATCGTGCTCCAGGCTGCAGAGTCTGCCAAAAATGGTAAGTGTCACACTGTATTTGGTTCCTGGGGTTGCTGGAACAAGGTACCACCTGGGTGACTGACAACAACAGAAATTTACTCTGTGACAGTACAGGAGGCTAAAATTCAAAATCAAGTTGAGGGCAGGGCCATGCTCCCCCTGAAGGCCCTAGAGAAGCATCCTTGTTTGCCTCTTCCAGCTTCCAGTGGCTCCAGGCAGCCTTGGTGCTCTTGGCTCATAGCTGCCCCATGCAATCTCTGCATCAGTGTCACATGACTTCTCTGTGTGTTCTCTCCTTATGCATAAAACCCACCAGTCATTAGACTTAGAGTCCACCCTAATCTGATGTTACCTCATCTGAATTAATTACATATGCAAAGACTATTTGAAAGTAAGGTCACATTCAGAGGTTTCAGGTGGACATGAATTCGTGGCTGACATTATTCCTCTTGTTCAGCGAATGGGGCCTACTCTCATACTCCAGACTCCAACATGAGTGAAACCAAGGAATCCCACCTCTACCTTCACGACATCCTCTTCCCTGCTTGAGGGTCCTGGCAATCAGTAAACTCTTTAATGGACTTGCTTAAGGGTCCCTGCGACCATCTCACCAGGAATCAGAAAAATCCCCAGCGCCTGGTAGCCCACATCAACCTGCGAGATCACACTGGATACCCTGTAGTCCTGTCTCTGGGTATTCCAGTGAACTCTTGAAGGGCCATTTTGACAATCTTGTTGAAGATCACAGAGTACTCTTCCCATTCTGTCCTTTTTCCCATAAGGGGGAATTTCCTGATCCTGATCTCCTGCCTGCTCAGATTTGAGAGATGGGGGTGATGGCTGAGAAAGGGAGGTGAAAGGGCCTCTCAAAGGAGTGGTGTCTGATACCCTACTTCCTGCTTCTCCCCACCCCACAAGCACAGACCCCCAGAGCCTCTGACATCTGTGATGCTGTGAGTCAGGTCAAGGTCCAGGTCAACAAAGCCTTCCTGGATTCCCGGACCAGGTATGTGAGACACACATACATATTCATGTGCCTCCCTTCACAGGCTTCCTGTTAACACACACACACACCTAGACCAGCCCTGACAAGCCAGGGAGCAAAAGCAATTACAAAATTTGCCCTTCCACCCACTTTCCACCCCCAAGGATGTGACAAGCAGGAGGAATAGCTCCCAATTCCCAAAGTCCTCAGCCTCTAAGCCGCCTTGAAGGAACATTTAATCCTGTAAGGACTTTCTTCTCCATGTCCCAGTGTTAACCCTGGGTCATGCATGCCATCTTCGGAAAGCCTCCAGATTCTTTGTTCATTCAACAGTATCAACTGACTCTACTGAAGTTCCCCAGAAACAGAACCTGGAGGCCTGGATTTAGGGAAGGTGATTTATTAGGAGTGTGCTCTCAGGGAAGCCCCTCCTGCTGGAAGCAGGAGAAGTAAAGGCAGAAGTTTTTTTTTTTTTCATTTTTCTTTTATTATTCATATGTGCATACAAGGCTTGGTTCATTTCTCCCCCCTGCCCCCACCCCCAAGGCAGAAGTTAAGCAGCATGTGGTTTCAGGTCTAGTCTCAGCCTGACCCCACGGAGACCTGAAGTGTCAGGTGTATCTCAGAGCCTGTCCCACTTTGAAGTAAAGGAGAAGAGCACAGACGTGGCCCCAGGCTTGAGGTTGGGAGCAGGTATAAGGCACACCAGTATTACTCCTGGGCACCTCCAGCCAGAGAGCCAGAGAGCTCTGATGGCTCAGAAGCAAGTGCTTGACAAGGTTACAGTGGTGAGACTTTAGCAGCTCCACCCACAGTAGCTAAGGAAGGAGCACGCCAACCCTCTTAAAGAACTCGAGAGAGCTCAAGGTCCCCAGGCCATCAGCAAAGTCAGCCACTCTACACTCATGAAGGAGCTGGAACTCATGAAATAAGGAATGCAGACTTAGTTGCCTCCCTCAGGAAGCCCACCCTGTACGAAGAGTGCTGACAAGAAACAAAGAGGAACCCTGGCATTGAACAGAAAACATCCTTATTCTTATTCTTATTCTTATTCTTTCCTCTCATTCTTGTCCCTAACACTAGATTCTGGGGTTTCTCTCCTCCTTGCCCCTGAGTGAACGCTGAAATTCATTCCTATGACACTTTCGATGATTTTTTAGATAATAAAACCTGCTCTGGTCCCCTCTAGTCCCAATACCAGTATCATTTTAGGAATGAAAAGGTTGGCAAAGAAGACAAAGCCCCAGGCTGCTCACTTCCCTCACTCAGAACTCAGAATGGCTTGGGGGTTGTGGTGAGAGCAGGAGGCCAATGGGCTTCTCCCTCATTCCTAGATGCCCACTCCTGCTTGGGGGCTGACCTAGGGGAGGGGAAGAGAGAGGTAAGGGATAGCAAGACCAAGTCCCCTGGACAACTCATTATCTCAAAGGGACCCAAAGTTCCTTTTCTCCTTGGGCATTCTTCTGGTCTCTCAGAGATTCTATTGCAACTCTAAGACCTGGAAACTTCTCTAGTGAGTGCCCTCAGTCTGGAACTACTGGCTTTCTCCCTTACCCCTCTCCACCCACTGTGAGCTATGGGACCAGGCTGTCCCTCACATGGTTTATCTCTTGAGTTCTTGTTAGGCAAGTTGGAGGTAGGCCTGGTGCTAAGAGCCCAATCATCACGATCCTCCTTGTGCCTACTCACTCACTAGGTAGTTCCTCAGAATGAGACACAACACCCTCTAGAACTTTAAATAGAACTAATGGCCTGATGTGCAGTGACTAAACCCCCAAAAGAGGGCTGTCTTTTGTGGGAATTTGAGCCATTTCCAATATTTCAGAGTCTTAGAGACATAGTGATCACCTGACATCCTCTCATGTACCAGGAAACTGAGGCACAGTGAGGCGATATAGGACTTTCATGAGACCACCTTGCCCTCAGTCATCTCTGTGTTGTCACAAACTTTGTAGTGGAAGGCTTTGGGATTTCCCATTTTACACATGGAAATTAAGGGATAAAAAGGCTGAGTGTCTTGTGCAAGATGCTCGGTAATAGGCTGGATGCTTCAGGCCACAAACTCCATACTAGCTCTTGTGCCAGATGCAGGGAGGGCTGTTTTCATGGTCAGAACTAGAGGCCCATAAGCACCTTATTCCTAGAATTCTCGGTCCACAGGTTTGATGACATACCAGCTGTATGCCAGGGGTTCCTCAAATCTGGATCAGTCTGCCATAGGACCTGTGTGGTTTTGAGGTTCCCAGCTGGTTCTGACATAGCCAGACCAGGTGTAGCCCTCTGGTTGGAATTCAGAAACTACTTGGTCCATCTGCCTGCCTCCCCTTGAAACCAGACCTAACACCGTGGCTTCCTCCTCCTGGAAGAAAAATGAAGAAAAGATCCTGAAAGCAGAGTATTTGTCTCCTATGTGCTACCCACACCACCGTGGCTCCTCCCTTGTACATACACCACCTCATGCCCCTCCAGTGGCCACCCTGCCCCTTCTACAGGGTCAGTTCATGATCCCCATTGCTCTCCACTGTAGGCTGAAGACGGCCATGAGCTCCAAGACTCCCACCACCCGACAGCTCTCAGAATATCTCAAGCATGCCAAAGGCTGGACACGCACAGCCATCCGCAGCGGGCAGGTGTGGGAGAGTTCTTTAAAGAAGCTGAGACAGGAGGCATCCTTGACCAATGTCACAGGTACAGAAAACTCACTAGTCCTCTGAAAGCAGGAAGGGGTCATCTCCCCATAGGAAAAAAAAAAATCAAAGGCCACCAAAATCTACACTTCCTGTCAGGAGTTGCCTGCATGAAGGGGCCCTTCTGTCTCTCCCTTCCTAGAACCATAACCCTGACTAACAGCGTCCCTTTGCAGACTTAGGAATTCAAACCAATGTGAGAAGGCCATATTGCCAACTCCTAATGAGGGGACATGGGTGCTCTTTGTATAATACCATCTGCAAGGCCTCTGCCTGAAAGAAGTGTCAAAGTCAAACATGGGCTCCCTGTCCCAAACCACAGTGTCACCACTTCCGTTTGTGAATGAGACATTTAAATCACATGTGTCTGGTGGATTTATGGGGATTATGTCATAAGAGATGAGATTTCTGTCTTGTTCTGGGTAAAACAGAGCTGACAGCCCTAGTTTGATTTTCTGCCTTCTGTCAAGGCCTTAGAATGGAGAAAAAACTCAGCTCTCTGGGATTCCTTCTGTTTCAGACCCCAGCCTGGACTTGACTTCACTGTCTTCAGAGGTGGGCTGTGATAACCCTGCTCCTGTGGTGAAATGCGACATGAGCAGTCCTTACCGCACCATTACCGGAAACTGTAATAACAGGTGATCTGGCAAGGTGTCTGTGGGGGGCAGAACCTCCCAACCGCCAAAGCAGGCCACCTGCCCTGCCCCACCCAGCCAGGGGCTTTACCCATTGGACATTCCAGGCAGAACTCCCCCTGCCTTGGCCTCCTGGACCCTTCTAAATATACAGTGCCTTCTAAGGGCACTGTAACCCAGTAGAAGTGGTCCCTTTCACCAGGGGGTAGAGCTCCAAGCCATCAGGGGGTGGGGGGATTCAGAACCCCCACCTTAGGTCCCTGCCCCGCGTCCCCTTTCTCTCGGACAGAGCCCAGGCCAGTCGGGGCTCCATGGAGCCGGGAGCCCCGGCAGCGAGCGGCCGAGGCTGAATGCGGTCTTGCTGGGTTTCAGGAGGAAGCCCGCACTGGGCGCCGCCAACAGGGCGCTGGCTCGCTGGCTGCCTGCCGAGTACGAGGACGGGCTCTCCCTCCCCTTCGGGTGGACGCCGGGGAAGACGCGGAACGGCTTCCCTCTTCCGCTGGTGAGGCCGGCGGTGTGAAGGATGGAAGTCAGAGGGGAAGAGATGCACTTTCCTTCGGAAAGGAAGAAGGAATGGGAGGCTAGAGGGATGTGCGACAGAGCCCATCGAAAAAGGCGGATATTTGGACTTGCTCCCTGGAGATGCTCCCCCCCACAAATGCCACTAGAGGGCAGCAGAGCCCGGTGCCCAGCTAGGTGGTGGGCAAGTCCCAGCTGTCACAGGCCAGACACCCTGGGGTCTCTCGAGCAGATGGCTTCCCTGCCCCATTCTGCTCGCCCTCAGCCCCTGGAGTGCATCAGCTGTCGTTTTCCTAGAGATCGAGTCTGTTGGCTTCATCTGAGTCGACAGCCCCTCCCACAGCCCCCTCAAGAGGCGCCTGTCTTTGTTTTCCCTCTTCCTCCTGAAAAGGACACTGGCCTTACACATCATCAAGTCATACAGACCTGGGTTCAGTCCCACATCTGCCCCTTTGTAGCTGCAGGACCTGGGAGCATTGCCTTCACTTGTCTAGAATTCAGTCTCCTTATCTACAAAGTGAGATAATGCAAACTCCTCGCGCCAGTTAAATGCACCTGTTACATTGTAGATGCTCAATAAACCACCACTGACTGTGAATCTTCAAGGCACTTCTTCCTCCAATCTGCTCTCCCCTCTCTCTCCATCTATAGGCCCGTGAGGTATCCAATGAGATTGCTGGCTATCTGAACGAGGAGGGTGTCCTGGACCAAAACAGATCCCTGCTTTTCATGCAGTGGGGTCAAATTGTGGACCACGACTTGGACTTTGCCCCTGACACCGAGATGGGGAGTAGCAACTATTCCAAAGCCCAGTGCGATGAGTACTGTATCCAGGGAGACAACTGCTTCCCCATCATGGTAGGTCCCTCAACTAAGTGTCCCCAACAGGACCCTTATCCACCCCAGTGTAGCAAGCACTCCCAGTCTGAAAACCAGGGTCTCTTCTTGCTAGATTTAGGTGCTGACTTAATAGCATCCCAAGCCTCACATGTCCATTCACTTACTCATCCACCTATTCAGTAATTAGACATTAACCATCAACTCAGCAGGCAAGTGCCCCATGACCTGGGGATTCAAAGGTGAGTAAGACACTGTTCCTGCTCTCAAGAATGAAGGGCCAGTGTGGGAAATGGGCAAGTAAGCTATTAGTGACAGAATCAGGAAGTTCTGGGGAGGATTGTCTATACCCTCCACCCAGCAGCATCACTGTCACATTAGAACAGCAAAATCTCAAGCCTCCGCCAAGATGTTGGCAAACAGAGTCTACATTTTACCAAGATGCCCAGAAGATTCATCCTATACCTAAAGTTTGTGGGACTCTGCTATAAGGTCATGCCAAGGGATGACTTCATCCCCCAGAAGAAGCTGAAACTTGAATCAGTGAGCAGCAGGGAATTGTGGGAATGTCCAGCAGGAAGGGAGAGGAGCTTGCAATGATGCACCTGATCTTCTTAATCACAGGTTTTGCAGTTAGAGAGTCATTTATTTATTCAAACAACACATCAAGACTATAGGCTGTGGTATAAAGAATATGAGCTGTGGGATCTGAATCTCACATCTTTCCCTTCCAGTTTGTAGGTGCCTAGGCAAGTCACTTAACCTATCTGAGCCTCCATTTTCTCATGTGTAAAATGGCACTAAATTGTCTATCTTATAGGGTTTTATGAGGACACAATGTCATAAAGTATGTATAATGCCTGCCATATGGTAGATCCAAAATAAACAAAAGGCCAATTTTTTAGTAATAGTTCAGGGCTGCTCCTCACCAAAAATTCAGAGAACCTCACTGTGTATGAATAAATTATGGGTCTCGGCTCTCTTACACAGCAGGATGTAATGAACTTCAGGGAATTGTGGGCCCAGAATTATAATGTAAAGAGGCGGCATCTTGGGTCAGTCTGACACCAGGGTCCCAGGAGGGCACCATCAGTATCTTTGCATCCATACTGGGCCTTAGGAGAGGTTGTCAGGGCCAATATTGCCACCCTGCACAGTCACCCACTCCCAATCTCTCTGCAGTTCCCACCTGGTGACCCCAAACTAAAGACTCAGGGGAAGTGCATGCCTTTCTTCCGAGCTGGGTTCGTCTGCCCCACTCAACCCTACCAGTCCCTGGCCCGAGAGCAAATCAATGCTCTTACCTCCTTCCTGGACGCCAGCCTTGTTTATGGTCCGGAACCAAGCTTGGCCAGCCGTCTGCGCAACCTCAGCAGTCCCCTGGGCCTCATGGCTGTCAACCAGGAGTTCTCGGACAATGGGTTACCCTTGCTGCCCTTTGTCACCCAGAAGCCAAGCCCCTGTGAACTCATCAACACCACGGCGAACGTGCCCTGCTTTCTTGCAGGTGAGTCTAGGCTAGGCAGAGAACAAGGGGCCTGGGGGCAAGGGGATCATGCAGGAAGACTTGGCCACTGTTCCTTCTGTGTCCTGAGAAAATGCCACTGTCCATAGAACTGGACCAGGACCAGCAGAAAGGCCCAGATGAAAACAGAACCTGAAAACACTCATTCACTGTAAAAAAAAAAAAAAAAAAGGAAATCCAGAAAAGCCCAAAGAAAATTGGCATAATCCCATCGCCCACCAGTAATCATTATTAGCATTTTAATGTCAGTATTTCCAGTAGCGTTTCCATCATGAGTATAGTTCTACGTCATTATACATAATTGGGGTTGCACTATAAATAACGCTGCATGACCTGAAGTCTTCACTTAATATACCCCATGCCATTAACTTCCTTCCACAATATGGTTTGTAATGGCTGCCTGCTATTTTGTGACATATATTACCATAGTTTTTAAAGGGTTCTGGGACTTGAACTCAGTGCTTTACACTTGCTAAGCAGACACTCTGCTGCCCAAGCCACACCTCCAGCTCCATAATTAATTTTTTCAACCCTCTTTGGAGGCATTTAGTTATTTCTAGTTGGTCTGTGTTTTCTTATTGTTGCTGATGAATCTTTGCTCTCTTTTTTTTTTGCTATCATTTTTTTTTGCAGTACCAGGGTTGTTGTCATTTTTAATACATTTATTATGGTAGTTTTCTAAAAGAGGATGTTCTAGTTTAAGATTAATTCTATATTTTATATATATATTCATATATACATAAATATATATGGGCATTTTAATGCCATATATTTTATATATTTTTTAATGCCATATATCCCCATGCCATACAGCTTGTGCACAACCAAAACCCTCAAAATTCTATTCATTTTAGGGGCTAGTGCCCTCCTGGTCTTCTCTATCTCTGGATCTCTGGCTTCTGGAAGCTTTCTCTCCTCCAAAACTCCACTATCCCAGGACAACTCCCCTGGCCACTCTGACAAGGCAGAAGGCAAACCTATAAGTCAATCTCTCTTAGTCAATCTCTTCAATCGTGTATGCATACACACCCCACACCCACCCAGACACAAAACCAAACCTTTTTCTATTTTTCATTTAAAAAATAGCCAGGAGCATTGAGAATTTAATAGGTTTTCCTAAAGCTTCGAGAACACAGAGAAAAGCACTCTCCTGTGACACCTGATCTTCACCATCTAACTGTCCCCCATCTTTGCTCCCCTCTCCTTCCCCCAGTAAACCGCCCCCATCTCCAGATCCTTCTTTCTTTACTATCTAGAAGGATTCAGCACTACCAAGGCTCCTACCCTCAAACCTGCATTCCTAGAATTCTTCATTTATTTGAACTGTTCTGCTTAGAAGCTGGTTGGGTTATAGTGGACAAATTTTATTTTTCAGTATGTCACCTGTAGCCTTTACCATAATCCTATGTGGTAGGCAATTTATCCCCATTTTTCACAAATAAGGAGAATGAAGCTTAGAAATGCTGAGTAACCTGCTCAAGGTCACACAGCTAAAAAGTATGTGTATAGAACTGAGATGCAAACCTATGATCCCATCCTCCATCCTTCCCACCTGCCTTTCCTTAGGTTGCCCAGAAGTAGGGGTTTAGGAGAGGGCCCTTGGGGGACCATCATTTCTCTGTGCAGGTTCCCAGGTTCTGGGGCTGCTCAGGGAGAACCCACCTTCCTGCCTTCTGGACTTTCAGGAGATTCCCGAGCCGCAGAGCAGATCCTGCTGGCCACTTCCCACACTCTCTTTCTCCGTGAGCACAACCGGCTGGCCAGAGAGCTGAAGACACTCAACCCTCAGTGGGATGGAGAGAAGCTCTATCAGGAAGCCCGGAAAATCCTGGGAGCCTTTGTGCAGGTATGGAGGGACCTGGGCCATGGACCCTGGCTCCTTCTCCTGGCTCTGTCCTTTGCTCACTGCCTACCTTCGGCTGCCACCTCTGTTTTCCTTACCCCTCTCTCTCCATTGCTGCTTCTCTTACATTGTCTCATTCTGTTGAACCCTCCCTCCTTTTGTTTCCTCTGCTTCTCTGTCCCAAAACAAATCCCTGGGTTCAGAATGTTAGAGAGTCATTAATGTGTTGGTCCCTTCAGTGTGACTGCCCTGATGCCATCACTGGGACCATAAGCTCCATCATCTCCTGGATGACTACCAGCAATGACTTGTGCTATGTTGAGTTGATGCTCTTCCTTTTGAATTCTCTACACTTAAGCTACATGTTGTGGGTATACTCAACTAGTATCATTGATTGCTAAGCAACTAACTAGAAAAGACTTAGAAAGGCTGATAGGTTGGTATTAACCTTGCATATTCTTTTTAAACGTTTTATTTTAAAGCACTAAAAGCTTCTCAAGAATTTCCAAAAAAATTTACAGAGAAGTCTGTGTGCCTTTACTCAGCCTTCCCCAATGCTAAATCTTGCCTAACTATGTGGTACAGTAGCAAAACCAGGAAGTTACCATTGGTGAAAACCATAAGGCTTCTTCAGACTTCACCAGTTATAAACTCAGTCATTTGTGTGTGCTCGTGTGTGTGTATGTGTAGCTCTGAGAAATTCTACCTCAGATGTAGCTTTATGTAACTGCCACCACAATAAAGAGAGTTAACTGTACCATCACAAGACTCCCTAACGCTACCTTTTATAGCCACATGGACCCTCACCCCTACATCTCAAATCCTTGGAAAACACCAGTCTCCTCTCTACCTTCATAGTTACACTATTTCACAAATGCTGATACAGTATATATCCTTTTGACATGGGCTTTTCTTGTTAAGCGTAATATCTGTGAGGTTAATCCTCAAAGATTACATGTATTATGTATTATGTGTATCAATAGTTCTTTTCTTTGTTGCTGTGAGGTATTCCATAGTACAGGTATACATCAGTTTGTCCAACAATTCAGCTAGTGAAAGATATTTGGATAATTTCCAGTTTGGAGTTACTGTGAATAAAACTGCTCTGCACATTAGTGTGTGTGTTTCTGTATAAAAATAAGTTTTTATATCTTTGGGATATATGCCCAAGAATGCAGTTGATGGGTCACATGGTAAATCCATTTTTAGTCTTAAAAGGAACTGCTAGCCTATTTTCTAGAGTGGCTGTACCATTTTACATTGCTGCAGCGATGCATGCATGTCCAGTTTCTGAGAGTCCTGGTCTATATTTGTTTCATCATTTATCCTTTATTTTACCCTTTCTGATGGGTCTGTGGTAATATCTCACTGAGAATTTAATATGCACTCTTAATGGCACTCTCTCATGTGTTTATTTGCCATCTGTATAGCCTCTTCAACAACCTGTTCATATATTTGTCTCATTTTTAAATTTGGACAGTTTATTTTTTAATGCTGAATTTTAACAGTTCTTTCTATATTTTAGACACAAGTCCTTTGACAGATATATGATTTGCATTTATTTTCTCCCAGTCTGCACAACGATTTGGGTTTTTTGTTTGTTTGTCTTGCTTTGTTTTTGGTTTTTTGTTGTTGCTTTTTGTTGTCTGGGTTTTGAACTCAGGGCCTTGAGCTTGCCAAGCAGTGCTCTACCACATGAGCCATGTCCTCAGCCCTTTTTACTTTACTTTTCAGATAGAGTCTTGTGCTTTTGCCAGACCAAGATCTGCCTACCTCTGCCTCCTTTGTAGCTAGGATTGCAGATGTGAACCACCACACTTGGCCCTAGTAATTTGGTTTTCATCCTCTTAACAGGGTATTTTGCAGAGCAAGAAATTTTCATTCTAAACTTAATGAGGTCCATTTTGTGTTCTTCCTCTCATGGATTGTGCTTGTGATGTCAAGTGTTAGAACACTTTCCCTAGTTGAAGGTTCCAAAGATTTTCTCCTGCTTCTGTTTTTTCTAGAAGTTTTATGGTTTTATGCTTTACATTTAAGTCCACAATCCGTTTGAGATTAGTTTTTATATAAAGTGTGAGGTTTGAGTTGAGGGTTCCTGTGTAAACATTTGTTGGGCATATTTGTATGGATCTATTTCTATAATGTCTACTCTGTTCCATTAACCTATGCATCTTTTCCTCCACCAGTACCACAGTATTCCATTACTGTAGCTAGATATTATGTCTCAACATACTTCATTCTTCTTTTTCAAAATTGTTTTGACTATTTTAGGGTATTCCCTTTTCCACACATTTTTAAATAAGTTTTTGTAAATTTACAAAAAAAAATTGCTGAGATTTTTACAGGAATTGCATTAAAACTATAGATTAATTACAACCTACTGGTTGTAATCATAAATACAACATCACAAATAGAAAACTTACTTCCACTAGATTGCTTTACCTTCCCCACTTTTAAATTTAATTGTCTTAAGTATTTCTTCTGCACACATTTAGCACCATATCGGATAGTGCTTCAACCACAAAATATGACTAAAGAAACTCATATGTAAAAAATAATTGGTTATGCTGACTTCATTTTCACCCATTGCACTGTTCTTCATTCCTTTCTGAGAGTTCCTGCCTGTTGTGTTATCCTTTTCTTTGTGTTTAGAGTTTCCTTTAGACATTCTTTAAAGTTAGATCTACAAACAACACATTCTGTTTTTCTTTGTCTGAGAATGTCTTTATTTTCCTTTTATTGCAGAAGAATAGTTTCACCTGGTACTAAATTCAAGATTAACAATTCATTTCTTTTAGCACATGAAAAATGTGCAACTTTCCCCTGGTATCTCTGGTTTCAGACAAAAAAATGCTACTATTCAAATTGGCATTTCTTTTTAAACAATGTGTCATTCTCTTCATCTTAAAAACTCTGTGTTTAGTTCAGATATTTAATTATATTATGTCTTAGAGTGAACTTCTTTGAGTTTATTCTGTTTGCGGTTCACTCTTGTATCTATAAATGTATGTCTTTCACCAATCTGAAGAAATTTTCCGGCATTATTTCTTAAGTACTTTTTCAGTTCCATCCACCTTCTTCCTCTACTTCTGGGACTCCACTGAATACAAATGTTAGTTCTTGTCCCACGGAACCCTGAGGCTCTAGTTTGCTGGAGGTTCTTTCATTCGTCTACTTTGTCTCTGTTGTGCAGCTTGAGTAAATTCTGTTGATCTGTCTTCAAGTCTATCCTCTGTCATTTCCATTCTACTACTGAGTCTATCCAAGGATTTTTAATTTCAAGTTCTTATTTTCAATTTCATAATTTCATTTTATTTATTTTCTTTTTAACTTTTACTTCTTTGCTGAGATATTCTGGGGAAATCCCTATCTGTTTCAGAAGAATAATCTGCAATTGATTGTTGAGTCATTTTAAGATTAATGCTTTAAAATCTTTATCAGATCAATCCAGCATCTGATTCATGTTGGTATTAGCATTGGTTGAATGTCTTTTCTCACTCAAAATGTGGCTTTCCTGGTTTATGGTATTATGAGGGATTTCCAGCTATACAGTAAACATTTTGGTTTTTGTTATGCTATTTAAACCTTCTATTTTACCATGTTGAACCATGTTTAGGTTTAGCATATAGATTTTAGTTCTGATGATGGCTAGTTCTCTGAGTTCGTCCAGTGCTGCTCTGGTCCACTTCATTCTTTGGGTGCTTCTGAACTTCCCACTCATTCCCTGCTGGTGCTGTCTGCAAGGCACCAAGTTTCTTTCTGGTGGTCTGATGTTACTAAGCAACCTTCTAGAGAAGCAGATGCCACTGTGCCTGGGTCTCCTAGGTGAAGAGTCGAGGATAAAGAGCAAAGAGACCCCAGGCTCCACTGATGCTCCCACAGAAGGCCAATCAGAATGTCCTCTAGTCTGAATTGTGGACTAGCCAGGGCTTCACAAATGCTTGGGCTCTCTGCTAACTCTATGCGGGATTTCCCTTGTCCTTGTCCTTTAGAAGGAGAGAGCATTCTTGTCTTAGCCTCTTTTGCCTATTCCTGTGGGAGGTTCCAGGCCTCCAACCTCTCCTGAACCCAGTCTAGGTGTTTGTAGAACCTACCACATTGTCATTCCTCGATTTCTGAGGTCTCCAGCCAGTAGTCAGTCCACATTCTTTTTCCCAGCTTTCAGAGTCTTTTTTTTTTAAAGGAGGTTCTTACTATGTATCTTAGGCTGGCCTCAAACTCACAATCCTCCTGCCTCTGCCTCTCAAGTGCTGGAATTATAGGTGTGCTCCACCACACCTGACTCAGAGTCTTTTATTATTGCCTGTTGAATTATTTCCAGGATGTTTTGTTATAGTGAATGGAGAGGAGAAAGGTAAAATGAGCCTATCCCACCTTATTATAAAACCAGAAGCCAGTACACATATTTTTAATTATCAAAGTAATCTATTTCCAGGACTGGGGGATGTGGCTTAAGAGGTAGATCAATTAACCTAGCATGTACAAGGCCCTGGTTCAATCCTCAGTACCATAAAAAAAAAAAGAGAGAGCATAAAAAATTAAACCCTGAAACTCCAAAATCGCACTGCTTAGAACTGACTATATCTCAAACAGCAAATTCAAATAATCCAATCAATAGAACCTATGTGAAAACAAATCACGAGAGATCAGCAGAAAGAATGTCATGATTAATTTTTTTTTTTGGCTGTACTGGGATTTGAACTCAGGGTTTCACACTTGCTAGGCAGACACTCAACCACTTGAGCCACTCCAGCAGCCCTAAGAATGTCATGATTAATTAACAATGCCTGACATGGTCACAGCAACGAAAACTGGGTACAAATATTATCTGTTTGCAGTCCCTGAGTTTTGACTGCTCATTCATCCCTCTTGTTGGCAGTTCCTCCCCAACCTCCCTCTGCAGAAGGTTAAGCCTTCCCACACCCTTTCCTCATGACTTGTTTCTCCTTTCAGATTATCACCTTCAGGGACTACCTACCCATTGTGCTGGGTGATGAGATGCAGAAGTGGATCCCCCTATACCAAGGCTACAATGAATCTGTGGATCCCCGAATTTCCAATGTCTTTACTTTTGCTTTCCGCTTTGGCCACTTGGAGATTCCCTCCACTGTGTCCCGCCTGGATGAGAATTATCAGCCATGGGGTTCAGAGTCAGAACTCCCCCTACACACTCTCTTCTTCAACACTTGGAGGATAGCCAAAGACGGTACGTCCTTTCCTGAAACTGTTCTCACCTGGCTCTCCACTTTGCAACCTGCTTGTAGGGAAATCAGGTTTCGAAGTGAGATCTTGAGCAAGTGAATTCTTCTCACTGAGTCTCATTTATTCATTTGCAAAATGGAGACAATTATAGTACCCATCTCATGAGAATATCCAAAAAATAAATGAGATAGATGGCTATGTAGAGCACCCTACAATGGTTCCTAGTGCACAGGTAACCAAGAAAAATTAGTTATTATTTCTTTCTTCCTTCTGGTTTAGGGTGCCTGGAATTCTCCTACCTCCTCCACCTGCCCAGGGCTTCTCTGACTTCTGATGTTCATGGGTGTGGTGAACAAATAGCTCTTTTCTGCTCCCTTTTATAGCCTTCCAACTCCACGGCATGCCAGAGGTTGCCTACAGCTCACATTTATTTCTGGGCTGGGCAGTGTTGAAACTGACTTTTCCTTAACGTCTAACAAGTTGGGGCCATTTCCTAAAGATTTATGGTCCTTCTTCCCTTGCTACAGTGTTCCTCCAGGGAAGGAAGAAAGAGCCGACTCCATGAATGAGAACTTGAAAAAACTTTTGACATTTCCATTCATGCTGTCATCCCATGGATGCCCTCCTTGCCACCCCAGAAACAGGCAGTTGGTCTCCCCTTTTCCTTCCCCTTTTCCTGGTCTCCCTTTTCCCCCTACAGGCTGCATTGTGCTCATCTCTCCCTGCTTCCAGTTGGAGATATTCAGTTGGCCTCCTTCCAACAGAGAGAAGCTGTCTGGTGGAGGGAGAGGCCAGCTGTGGAAGATGCCCTCACCCTATTAGCTTCCGGTCTCCCTTTGCAGGTGGAATTGATCCTCTGGTGAGGGGCCTGCTGGCCAAAAAGGCCAAATTGATGAAACAGAATAAAATGATGACAGGAGAACTACGCAACAAGCTGTTCCAGCCAACTCATACCATCCATGGCTTTGACCTGGCTTCTATCAACATACAGCGTGGTCGGGACCATGGGCAGCCTGGTGAGTGGATCTGGGGTCTGACCTGGCCTAGAGGCTTTAACTATCTTCTGGGGCTCCTAGAGATCCTCTCCTGTGACCCTGAGGCTCTGATTGATTCTGAGACAGAAGGCAAGCTAGTTTTTAAAACCCTACTTTGCTCATTCACATATTAGAACCTTCCATTCTCCCTAATGCAGATATGAACCTGGGGTTCTTCCAGTGAAAAAGAAATCAACGACTTGTAAAACCAGTTTTAAAACCCAGAAAAGATTAAGAATAGAGAGAAACCAGTAGCTATTAGAACTTTTTTTGTACCCATGAAAAGCAATTTAATGTAATTAAGAGCCTGACTGCCTGAGTTCAAATCCCAGCTGTGCCTAAAGTTTCATAACTTTGAAACTTTGGGCAAGTTACTTAACATTTCTACTCTTCAGTTTTTACCTGTTGTACAGTGTTTAGAATAGTATCTGAACCCATAGTAAGTACCAGATAAGCTGCTAACCCACCCCCAAGACTGAAGTGCCACAGATGTGAAATGACAGATCAGTGCCTCCCCTGTCCCAAAAGGCTCTGCACCCAGAGCCTTTCTGGGGCTGATGGAGCTGGAGTGAGTATGTCCCCAAGGGGGACCATGAACAGTAAGTTCCTGGGATGAGACAGCTTCAGTCTCCCACCCTAGCATACAACTCCTGGAGAGGCTTCTGTGGCCTCTCACAGCCACGGACACTGGAGGAACTGAGTACCGTGCTGAGGAACGAGATGCTGGCCAAGAAGTTCCTGGGTCTCTATGGAACCCCTGACAACATCGACATCTGGATAGGGGCCATTGCTGAGCCCCTGGTAAAAAGAGGCCGGGTGGGGCCTCTCCTGGCCTGCCTCCTGGGCCAGCAGTTCCAGCGGATCCGTGATGGAGACAGGCAAGTGAAACTCAGGCCAGGAGGGAGGGGAGAGCCTGTCACCAAGGTGGGGGGTCCCAACATCCTGTATGAGGACTGACTGCAGACATCAACATGGGTGGGGCTTTTCCATATTCCCAGTGACCTCCTTTGGCAGCATGGGGAGAGGCCAGTAGCTGGACTGTGTGGAGTAACCCTGCTTCTATTGCTCTAGGTTCTGGTGGGAAAACCCAGGGGTCTTCACAGAGAAACAGCAGGACTCTCTGAAGAAAATGTCCTTCTCACGTCTTGTCTGTGACAATACCCACATCACCAAGGTCCCACTGAACCCATTCAAGGCCAACAGCTATCCCCAAGACTTTGTGGACTGCTCAGGCATTGATAAGCTGGACCTCTCACCCTGGGCCTCAGTTGAGAATTAGGGGCCTGGGATCCATGGCCTCCCACAGTAAAGCTACCTTTGATCCATAATGCCATTTCAAGTAAGTTCAATGGCCTGGTCCCTTACAGCTCCACACCCCAGTCCCAACCCCTCCTTTTAACTAGGCCTCTCTTGCATTTGCCAGATGAATAGCTTGCTCAAGGCCAAGGGTAGCTGTCTCAGATCTTTCAGCTTTTTCCACTTGGTTCCCACCACTTCCATCATTTCAGCCTGTGGAAATCCTCCTTTGTGTCAAGACTTAGACCCTCTGAGATACCCTTTTAGTCTAGCTTGCTGGATGTCACCATCTTCTCCCTGAACAAGCATTGGCTAAGGCTGTTGCCTTTGACCTTCATCTCTCCACCTTTCCTCCCAGACTAGATTATAAGCTTCCTGAGCCACAGACTTCCACCTGTGTCTGAGTACAGCTTGGGACATGCGGCATGGTGTTCATTGCACTAAATTCTCAATAAACAGCTGGTGGTTGACTAGAGATGCTGGCAATGGTGCTATTCCTTTCTGAAGAATCACAGCCAAAGAAGTAACTAGATGTTTACAGTCTGGATGTGTCTCGCTGCTAAGATGTCTTGTGTGTAGGTCTGTGGGAGAAGGGGTGAGAGGGTGAGAGGCCCAAGAGCTCTCAAAGAAGGGAGCTGGCCGGGGCCCCTGAGAAAAGAAGCAATGCCATGCTGTAGCGTGTGCCTGGGGTGGCCCTGCAGATAGGGTGCCACGGGGTAAAACAGAAGGGAAGCCAATCCTCCATTTCCCTGCCACTAATATTAATCTTTCTTCCAACCCTCTGGGAAATACCCTCTTCTTTCTGGGCAGTCCTGGGAGGCCTCAAACCTCAGAACATTCCTTGAGCTGCTGCCCAATGCATATTCATGCATTCTTTTTTATTATTAATATTTTGAGACAGGGTCTACTGTATAACCCAGGCTAGCCTTGAACTCTCAATCCTCCTGAGTTCGGGAAGCCCCAGGCTCCCTTGAGTGCTGGAATTACAAGCATGTACCACCACACCTAGCCTGTATTCTTTTAAAATGACCCTCCTGGACTGGGGAGTGGCCCAACTGGTAGAGTAACTTCCTAGCAAGCATGAGGCCCTGAGTTCAAACCCCAGTACTACCAAAAAAAAAAAAACATAAAATGACCCTCCAATGCATAAAGCCCTGGATTCAATCTCCAACACCACAAAAATTAATTATTAATTAGCGAATTAAAATTACCCTCCAGGTAAGGCCAGTGTACCCAGGGCCTCTAGATCCCCTGACTGGCAGGGTGGAAGTGGGAGGTACTTCGCCGTATTTTGGGAAGGGCCCAAGGCAGAAGACCTGGGCTGTGACCCTGCTCAGACGCCCACTTTTTCTTGGCCTTGATAAGGCCCTCCCCGTTTCTGAACATCCCTCTCCTTGTCAGTGAGATGGGGACCAGTGGTGTTTATTTGTCCTGCTCCTCACCATAGTGAAAGTCTAGCTTTGCCTGGGGGCCCTGTAAGTACATTACACCCCATCATCCCACACACCTTCAGCTTCCAGGTGTGAGTGCCCCCTCCCCATTCCTGAGAAGACTGGAAGTAAGGGGGAGGAGTCTACCAGTTGGATATGAGGGGCCAACTAGGAACATGCATTCCTCCCCCTTCCTCAGCACTGGTCCTAACCTCTGGGCCTAGCTATCGCTGTCCCTGCTATGAAGGTCTGGTCACTGCAAACTTGGAGTGAGAAGGTCTCTATCACCTTGAAGGCCTTTGAACCATTTACTGTGCCAGGATGTAGGGATACATGATACATAGATCCCTATCACCTGGGGAGGGTCTTCCCACCAGATCTCAGTTCTTTCTCTCCCATGGGATACTGTTTGGTCCCCATGTTTCCCACCACCTGACACAGAGTGAGCACAGAGCAATGATCAAAACATCAAGACTTGGCGACCTCATTCTTGTTCTGCAGAGTGATAGGTGGGAGGTGAGGGTCTGCTCAGTGTGGCTGGGCCTGAGGCTTCTCAAAACTGACAGCCCTCCCTATATGGATTTGCCACAGGAGGATTCCTGCACAGAAATGCAGGTCCCTGAGGCACAGACTGCACTGGCTGCTGTTCAGGGCCCAGAGGGAGACTCCAGCCCCTTCACAGACATGGACACAACGAGATCCCCGTCAGTGGTGCTTTATATCAGGTACAAACAAATAGTACAAAAGGTACAGAGGCCCAAGTTCCTCTCCATCGGGTTCCTGTGAATAAGCAAGAGAACAAAATAAGGGAGAAATAGGGGAGCTGTGAGCTCAACCTAACTGGCCTAGACCCATATTGCAACAACACAGCCCACCTGCTAAAGGTTCATTTTTCCAGTGGCCACTGGCTCACCTCTGCTAACCAGGACACAGTCCTTCAGGATACAAATGGACTGCCTCTATGTTTCCCATACCTAGCACAGGGCCTGGCATATAGTAGTTACTTGATAAACAAAGAGTTAGAGGATGCAAATAGGTCCTCCAAAGAACCATAATCACTGTTACCTACACAGAGGAAAATAGGCTTAGGGGATTGAGTAATTTGTTCCAGGTCACTGAGTAGTAAAGCTGCGGAGCCAGATGTGACCCCAGGCAGTCTGTCCCAGGCTGTGCTCCTCACCAATCTGTGTCTGCCTCCCATGTCCTTAAAACTTTCTCCTAAGCAGCAAGCCACACACTTGCATGAATGACACACCTGCACAGCCCGTGTTCACAGACAATATGTATATATGAAATGCTGATTTACATACATTGCACACACATACAAACATATATACACATGAATGAAGGTCCAATCACTTTTCTCAGCTGGCACACAGAACAGGGATGGGTTCCCCTAGGGAAGGAAGTTCCCTGTAGTTCCTTTTGTCCAGCCCAGGTATACCCCACACTGCAGTGTGCCCTTACCCAGCCTCTAGGCCTCTCTCCAGGATGCCAGGTCCAACGCAGGGAGAGAGCTGCAGCTGACAAAGTCCCGGGGGAATGAGTTGGACATGAAGATGTTGTTCTTGGACACAGTGGTGATGCCTGTGTTGTCACAGATGATGCGGGGTAAAGAGATCCTGGCCAGGGCCTGGCGCTGCTCCGTGCTGAACACACCTGCATTCTCCCACCAAAACCTGCACAGGGAGCACCAAGGACATTGTGTCTGAGTGTGTGCTGGGCTGGGAGAACATCACCTGACTTGAGGGGCCCCCTAGATGCAAAAGGACCACAGATGACTCCGCCCTGCAGTACAGAAGAGCTCCAAGCCCTTGGGTGGTCCCCTACCTACAGTGTAGAGTACAGCACAACTGCCTGATTGCCTCCCTTGACCCAACCCAGCAGCTTCCAGGCACCACTCATGCTACAGCAGGAACCAAGGCCCACCCTGGCTCATGAACACTGAGTGTGGGAGAGCCTCGAGTATGGTGTACAATTTGTGTGTCCGTCCCCCCTGCAAAGGGACACCTTTTTCTCATATTTCCAAAGGTGAACACAAGCTAGACATGAGATGTCAGGACTATGATGAAATGATGCAAAGTTAAGTTGGAACTGTTCAGCAATGTTGACATCTCCATAGTGGCACAGAGAAACCCAGAGGAAGAAATAGTAAGAGTGGTACTTTTTCTGTCTTCCTTCACAACAAGCTTCAGGTACAAGGCACATCAGGGATGACCTGGAGCTTCCCCAGAACACAGCAGAAAATCACTGACCCTTTATAGCCCTTAATTCACAGGGGGAAATCAGCCCCGGGAGATGCAGGGACAGGCCCACAGTCACCCAGCAGGCCTGAGCAGTGTGCACCACCTCCTCACCGATCTCCATCCCGGAGCTTTCTGTACTGGGTGCCAATGAGGCAGGCAAGTAGTGGGCCCACACGGCCATTACGTTCCAGGGGCTCAGCCACACCACCCATCCAGATGTCAATGTTGTTGGGTGTGCCATATTGCGCCATCAGTTTCTGTGCCAAGTCCAGGTTCTTTAGCACTGAGCCCAATTCGCCCACTGTGCTGGGCTGTGGGAGCCCACAGAAACGCCTCCAGGCATTGTACCCTGCATGGGGGAAGTGATAGGTGCCTATGAGTAGGTCCCTCTGCTGCAAGGTGGGGAGAGCCCTGGGGACAGCAGAGAAGATCCAAATGTATGCCATCAGCCAAGAAAACCCACCTTCTCAACACGGTAGGCCACAGACAAAAGGGAATCCTGAACTCCTGACTCATGCCAAAGAGGAGGGCTGGGCCTCTCTGAACCCCTCATTGTCTTTCCCTTGCTCACTGACCCTAAGGCAAACCCTAAATTGCCATAATTCCTGCCACATTCAAAAACAGGGACATTTCACATTCCCTAGAGCAACCCAAAGTGCCTGTCTCTGACCCAGGTGAGGTGAAGTGTCTCAGGGGCTCTACCACACGTGCCGCCCCATACCACAGGCTTTAGGGTTGGGCTGATCTGGGTCCAAGCTCCAGATCCATCACTGACTTGTCTAGAGCACCTAACCAGGTTCTGAATGTTTCCAAGCCTCAGTTTCCGCATCAGTAAAGTGGAGGTGATAATCTCTTCCCCTCAGCATTCATGAACAATGAGTCAGAATGAGATGATGGTGGAGATGGGTTTTCAGTCTGTGGGTTTCTGTTGTGAGGGTGCTGCTGCAGGTGGAGGGCTCCAGCAGGCAGAGAAGACAACAGAAGCTGCAAGTTGACCAGAGCGAACCAGGGAAAGGCAGGCCTGACCTCAGATGGCTTTGTGAGAGCAAAATGCTGGGGTTGGGGAAGCTTTGGGAAGCTAGGGCATTGGAGGGGGAGGATCCCTGAGTGGCAAGAGGAGCTATGGGCTGCCTAATAGCGGGGAGAGGCGCTGAGGGTGACCGGGGAGGCTCCTGCACTGCCTCACCTGGGAGACCGTGGTCCCTGCTGCGCTGCATGTTCAGAGCAGGCAGGTCCAGCCCAATCCTCATGACCTGCTCAAACAACCGCTCCCGGAGCTCATCCACCACGATTTGGTTCTGGCGATTCAGCTTGGCAGGGGTGGCCATGAGGCCCCGGAGGATGGGGTCAATGCCACCTAAGGGCAAGAGGAACAAGGTTGGGAGAAGGACCAACTTAATACCAGTATCAGACTGGAGTCAGAGCAAGTCCTAATGGGGTCAGGGAGATTGGAGAAGGTTGGGCATATGCAACATCAGTGCCCAGGTGGCCCCAAGTGAGCAGTCCTCATCAGGTATTGGCCTTAGGTGCACTTGAGTCTCAGAGGGCTATGCCATTCAGACTTGCCAGGTTGGGATTCTCCCAGCCTCTGGCCTTCTGGGTCACAGACAGTAATAACCCATAAGACAGAGCCATCTCTGCCTCACTCCTTATTCTAAGATCCAGAGCAGGTGCACCTAGTCTGGAGAGTCAGACTAGATCCCCAAAAAGAACAAGAAAGACCTCATCCTAGCTCTCTGAAGCTTATCCTGCCCCACCCTCAACTGCTAGCTCACTCTATTCTGGTCCAGGTTCCACTCACCTTCCAGCACTACCCTCCAGCTGGCAAAAAACACCTTGCTGAGTGGGACACGGGGGTTGGGCTCCATGGGCTGGTACTGATTGTTCAGGCGGAACATGAAGGGTTGGATGAGGGTGTGGCCATAACGGAAGGCATTGGTGAAGACATTGGCGATGCGCGGGTCCACCGAGTCGTTGTAAGCGCGATACTGGGGGAGGTACTTCCTCATGGCTGCTGGTCCCAGCACAAGGGGCAGGTAGTCTCGGTATGTGATGATCTAAAGAAGAGTTAGGTGGAACGGCTTCTCTATTCACTAGTGTAGAGGCTCTGCCTATTCTTGGCTTGGGGGATCCCTCCTATCCATCTATGGTCAGAAAACTGTCTCCTACAGTACTGGATGGGAACCTAAAGGAGTGGCCCTGAGGGCATACATAGAGCTCTATTGCTTGCTGGCTGTGTGACCTTGGGTTACTAATTAGCCTCTCTGAGCCTCAAATGTAAATTGAGAGTAATTATATTGCCCTCTGCCTTACAGGATTAAATAGAAAAATGATTTGTTAGTCATTAATGTCCCTTGAATTATTAATGAATCATTTCTCCCACTATTTTATAAACTCCTTGAGAGCCAGGGAATTTGAAATTAATTACTCACAGTGCCTAGCAAAAGCCTGACCCACAGTAGGGCTCAATACGGGTTTGAGGCAGGAGGGGAGGCAGGAAAGAATGAAGGCTGCTCTAGCATGATTTCCCACAGTGAAAAAGTTTCACTCTAGATTCTAGACTCTAGATCCTCTGAAGCTAAAATGAACCCCACTTGTGTTTTCAGTGCAAATCAAAAAGTCTTCCTTTGCACCTTCAATTCTCCCTTTCCAGAATCCAAGAGTGTGTGTGTGTGTGTGTGTGTGTGTGTGTGTGTGTGTGTGTGTGTGTGTTTATTTCTTGGGAAGAAAAGGGGGCCCTGGAATATCAAAAGTTGGAACTGAGGCTGGAGACTTGGCTCAAGTAGTAGAGCACCTGCCTAGCAAACATGAGGCCCTGAGTTCAAACCCTGGTACAGACAAAAAAAAAACTGTGAAAGAACCAGGATTTCTGCCCCAGGGAGGAATGAGGCTCAGAAAGTTAAGTGGGTGGTGACAAAACCCAAAAGAAGAAGTGAATGAATAATGTCACTCTTAGCTAAGAGTGACAATGAGATGGGGGAAGGAAGAAAACACTAAACAGCTGTTATGCACCAAACATGTGGACACCCCCTACAAACCCTCCCAACACCATTCCCAGACCTCCAGGAAAGAAGAAAGCCTAGGAAGGAGGGGAGGGAAGGTTAGTGGCATTTGTCAAGCGCTTTATATCTAACAGGAGGGTCCTTTAATCCTTACAGCAGCAAAGCCCAGGAAAGTTGGTCACTTGCCCAAGGTCACACAGCTAATATGCTGCAGAGACCCCTCTGGTTGCCAAGTCAACCCTACGCTCAAGACAGCCTACCTGGACCATGGCTCCCACAATCTTCCGGGCTTCCTGGTAGAGTCTCTCCCCATTCCACCTGGGGTTCAGGCGCTTGAGCTGTGTGGCCAGCCGGTTGTGTTCTCGAACAAAGAGGGTGTGCATGGAAGTGAGCTCAGGCATCTCACTGGAGCGGGTGTCCCCTGAGGAAAACAAAGTTACTGTCACTCATATGGCCTCTGTCCCAAGAAAGATTTGCTCCTTAGCAGCTCCCTCTCCAGTTAAGGCCAGAAATGTCTCCTACTCACTCTTGTCTCCACGAGTCTTTTCATGTCAGGCTTGGTTATACTGTAGGACCAACATTGATGACCCAGTCTGCCATAAGTCTTTGTCCCCTCCTTGGGAACACATGCCACTTTCCTATAACTGATACTGGGAGTTCCCTGAAGACAAGGTTCACGGTTTATGCCTCTTTATATTTTAAATACACATGCATGAAACATGGATCTCAGCACCATGCCTGGTACAAAGTGTAAGACCCAGAGACACTATCTATTTAGCATGCATGTTGGCATAACCTATTTCCATGTGCCCACATCAGATACGACCAATGATCACAGCAATCTTTCCTGCTAAGATTGACACAACCTCAGAATCCTTCTCAACACAGGACCCTAAAAAAAAATCACCATTTGAAGAGATGTCAGCCCCACCCTTACTATATGCTAGTCATCCAGCCTGCTGGTGCAAGGGGTTGGGGCATGGAGGGGTGTAGAGTCCATGACTGGGATTCTATGCAAGGAAACGATGCAAACCTCTTGATTTCCCTCCCTAGTCCTCCCCAAATCTTTCCTCAAAAAGGCCAGAAGGCAAGGGTCAGGGCCACTTTAGCAGGACACTGAGTTCAGCCCTCACTAACTGTAGAAAGGCAATTCTAGGAGGAAAGAACATTCTCTGAGAATAGCTTCTCCAACCCAAGAGCAGATGGAGCTTTTGTTGTGCCAAGGCTGGGACACGAGCTTGTCATTGTCAGACAGGGTGTCTGGCCGGAGGGCTCCATTGCCTCTCTAGCCCAGAAGAGGGCAGGCCTTTCCCTAGAAAACCCACATGGGAACTGACCTTGATTCTCCTCTCACAGGCTCAGGGACAAACCAAGAGAAAGAGAGGGGGGGCGAGGAAAGAGCCTCCACCCACCACTGGGTTTACATTAAAATAACATGGGAAATTTTCAGGGCCTAGCTACCATCAGTGCCCCAGTCCTATCCTCAACTGCCAGGTGTCCCCATTTGAAAACCCACCCTCTCTCTTTACAGGTAATCACAGTGTGCAGGAGGTGCTATTGCGCAGCCACACTGTCCACTAGAACTCTCTGGGATGATGACAGTGATCACTTCTGCACTGCCAGTAGGGGAACCACTACCATGAGGCTACTGAGCATTTGATTTTTTTTGGCAGCACTGGAGTTTGAACTCAGGGCCCCACACTTGCTAAGCAGGTGCCTACTCAGCATTTGACATGTAACTAGTACAGCCAAGAAACTGAGCTTTTATTTAATTTAGCTTAAAATAATTAAAATTAAAATAACCACATATGGCTACTGGCTCCAGATTGAACAGTGTGGTGCCAGATGGTAGGAGCACCACATTGCTCTCTGCCCCTTTAGTTCCCTGCCCTGGAGGACTCAGCTCTCTTTTCTTCTAGAGTCCAGAGAGGAAAGATGAGACAGAAAATGATGGACAGATATTCAGAGGCTCCTCAGCCATCCCTGTGTCTCCATTTTAGGTTGGGGAGATCAGGGTTTTTTGCCTTTCTATCTCCTCCAACTTGTCACCAAGGCAACAGGACTAACATGAAGTTGGGGAGGAAAGTGTCTCATAAAAAGCTGCTCATACACCAGCTCACTGTGGCTCCCACAGGAACACCTTCTAAACCACCCTAACCTCAGAGCTGACCTGCCAGGAAGCAGGGGATTTGCACAGAGCGGTTGGTGAGAAGAGGGGTCATCATGCAGATTGTCAAAGGGCATCAGAGCCC